GGAGGAAGGAGGGATGATGTAGGGAGGAAGGAGGGATGATGTAGGGAGGAAGGAGGGATGATGTAGGGATGATGTAGGGAGGAAGGAGGGATGATGTAGGGAGGAAGGAGGGATGATGTAGGGAGGAAGGGAACGCCATCCAAGTCCTGTCCAAGATGTTCTCTAGGGGGCCATGGACATGTCCTCTGATGTCCTCCCGTCGTTTGAGGAGCGGCGTGGTGATGTCCTCCCGTCGTTTGAGGAGCGGTGTAGTGATGTCCTCCCGTCGTTTGAGGAGCGGTGTAGTGATGTCCTCCCGTCGTTTGAGGAGCGGTGTAGTGATGTCCTCCCGTCGTTTGAGGAGCGGCGTAGTGATGTCCTCTGATGTCCTCCCGTCGTTTGAGGAGCGGCGTGGTGATGTCCTCTGATGATAGAGGAGGGGCGTGGCGATGTCCTCTGATGATAGAGGAGGGGCGTGGTGATGTCCTCTGATGATGGAGGAGGGGCGTGGCGATGTCCTCTGATGTCCTCGTGACGTTTGGGGAGTGGTGAGACCACCCAGCTACCGCCTGAGCCGGCGTAGACTCTCGGCCAGGCAGCCGGCGCTAGACTTGAGCAGGAACTTGAGCGTGTAGAACTCGTCCTGCGCGCGCTCCTTCTCCAGCCACACGTACAGATCCTGCTCGCGACCCGACACGCCTTCACACGCCGACCCTGACCCCGGGGTCCCGCGGCTCACCGGCGACAACGAGACCTCAGACACAGGCGGGCCCCACAGGAGATACTCCACGGCGGTCCGCAGCTGGCCTGGGGGGACACACAGACAGACGGGCGTTACACACGGACAGACAGACGTTACTGGGGGGACACACAGACAGACGGGCATTACACACTGACAGACGCACGTTACTGGGGGGACACACAGACAGACGGGCGTTACACACAGACAGATGCACGTTACTGGGGGGACACACAGACAGACGGGTGTTACACACAGACAGACGCACGTTACTGGGGGGACACAGAGACAGACGGACGTTACACACAGACAGACGCACTTTACTGGGGGGACACACAGACAGACGGACGTTACTGGGGGGACACACAGACAGACAGATGTTACTGGGGGGACACACAGACAGACGCACGTTACTGGGGGGACACACAGACAGACGGGTGTTACACACTGACAGATGCACATTACTGGGGGGGACACACAGACAGACATTACTGGGGGACACACAGACAGATGTTACTGGGGGGACACACAGACAGACAGACGTTACTGGGGGGACACACAGACAGACATTACTGGGGGACACACAGACAGATGTTACTGGGGGGACACACAGACAGACAGACGTTACTGGGGGGACACACAGACAGACATTACTGGGGGACACACAGACAGATGT